TCGGGTGGGGGTGTGTGGGGGGTTTAGTTAGTTAGCTAGTTAGTTAGTTACTGTTATTTTCTCAGAACCAGAGGGTTTTTTTCGGGGGTTTGGTTTTTTGTCTGTTTTGGTTTTTTTAACCACAAATCAGCCTCGAAGCAGAAGTACCTGCTAAAATTTCAGCCCTTTGAAATGAAATCCGGAAAGCGTTTTGACAACTCCGGTCTGAGCATAGAATCGCCCAAATGCTTTTCATGTTTTTCTGATGATGGTTGCTGCCTTTGGATGCCAAAGAAGTGTGTGACTAAGCGCCGTGGGGGTTAGCTACGACATTAGGCAACTATTTTAAACACAGTGAAAATTCTTAGTGTAACATTGAAGTTTTGCTGTGGGACACATGTAGCAGATACGGCCGTTAGATCTTGATATTGTGTTAAGCCACGTGGGAGGATCACCTTTTCCATTGATTTTACAAGAGATTTTAATGGGATGCAAATACCATCTTCACTGAAACATTGAAGAAATCAGTAATTTTTATTTTCTCTGACAGTCTGTGCTGACTCACTACTTAGAAAACCAAAGCTTGGGCTCCCTATTTAAAAAAAAAAAAAAAAAAAAAAAAAAAGGGGGGGGGAAAAAAAAAAAAAAAAAGGAGGGTGGGTTTTTTCCAGACTGTGTGTGTAAACATTGTGTTAGAAGTGTATCTTTTGTGTTACACACTTATGGCCTTTGCTCCTTTGCAACATCCTTATCATTTAAATACCTTTTTGCTGGTTCAGCACATCTACTGATTCACATTTTTAGCTATGTACCTTTCTTCCTCCTAATTTCCATCTTGAATACTACCTTCTCTATATATGCTCCAGCTCTTTTCTAAATACATCAGCAAATTTAGATGTGCCCTATCTCCCTCCTCCCCATGCTGTTCCTCAAAGAACAGATGTTAGACTTTAATAATGCTCAGTCCTGAGCATTTAACCACTCTGCCTTTTCCTGGTTCCTTGCTTCACATTTTATTTAGGGCTGTGCATGTGTTTTGCAACTCTTTGTTGCAATTTCCATGCTGAGTCTAAAGATTTTATACCATTTCATGTAGGGTCTTGCTGACTGGCTTCCTCAGTTTTTTAAATCCCCTTTTTGTAGTTTGGGTTTGCATTCCTCTCATTTTCGTGACTTTTTCCCATAGGTTAAACCATAGATAATTAAGTTATCCTTGCAGTTACTTACATCTTCTCCATATTACTTCAGTAATTTCTTTTAAATGAGTCTTGTGTCACTACATCTTTAGGAGTTCTGACTACTTCTCATCATTTATTATCTGCAAAAATATCTATCATCTGAGCTGTGGAAAACATAAGTACTGCAGTCTGGGGTGAGATCGCTTTCCCACTCCTCTTTGGTGTAACCAGTATTTAGTGACTGGAGAACATCGCAGAAAGAGGGCAGGTACAATGCTGGCTCAGACTGTCCTCCCAGACTCTGGGAACTGATGATTCAGTGCAGGACTGAGGCAGAAGTGGAGCCTTTCTATTTTTTACTCCTTAAAAATTTTCCAGTGAATGCACTGATCAGTTTTTTTTTTAACTCATAAACTTTTATCGACAACAACATCGGGGGCAGAGAGGTCTATATCTTAGTTACATGTTGTGTGCAGAACTACCTTATTTGTTAACTTCGAACCTGCTGCTTGCTAGTTTTCTCAGATCCCCTCGAGGTCTTGTGTTAGAAGAGAGGTGCACAGTCACACCCTGTTCATCTCCCATAAGGCACTCCAGATTTCGTAGATCTCTCTCTTCTCTGCCTTTCACTCCTGTTGTCCTTTTTCTAGGTTGCCGATTCCTTATCTATTCGCCCCTTGTGTGGAAGCTGTTCCACCTCTTTGATCAGCCCTGACATTTCCCTCTGTTTTCTTGTTGAATATAGAGAACTCAGAGATACTGAATAATTATTTCATGTATGCTTTTTGAAATGGGTAACGTGTTCATTGTTCTCCATGACCCCTTCGTGGCTGCTGGAAAGCTGCAGGAAGGGCCGGGAGGCGTTTGCACTCACACACCTCGTTCTGCTTGCCTTCAGACTTCCTGCCTAGATGCTTCCTGCAGTCAGTGGGATAATTTTTGCCCTTCAGACAATAAAGCTCTAACTGTATACGGGAACCTGGGAGTGCTTCCAAACTCCCAGGTCTGGCTGTGCCCTCTGGCTACATCCCATCCCATATTGCGATGAGATCCAGCATGCATCAGCACGACTGCCGTCTTTGTTCCGTGGTTTCCATGGGAGGTAAACCCTGGGCACGCAGCCCGTACAGGAGCTGTATGGGCTCCTGCAGTGTGCACCACAGGTAACCGTTCACTGACCTAAGTGCTACCAGAAGGATTACGTTTCTGTGCACTGCCTAGGAGGAGACCCTCGACCTTGAGGGCAAAGGGATTTGTGAGGCTTCCATTTTTGCCACACAATAACAGGATCTCTTGACAAAAGATACTACAGCAGAACTGAGGAGCGGGGAAGCCTGTAGGAAACATGGGCTTGCAGATACAAGACATCTAGTAAATAAATCAATAGCATCGAATAGAAGTTAATTTAGAAAAAGAATAAATGGAGACCTGGGATTCCATCTGTCAAAAAACCAGACTGCTTGCTCAAAAGGATCCATGTCAATGTGATGACCAAAACATGAGAAAGTTGAAAGTTAATGTTCTGTTAACTTTAGTTACAATACTCTTCAGCACGTTAAAAAATCACAATTGAGTGGGTGTTATTATACACAGTTATAGATCTGTATACAATTATATAGATTATTTATAGATCTTGTATACAATTTTAGATCTGCTTTGCCTGTGTTTCTTGTGCCTTTTCAGATGTAATAATCTCAAAAACTTTAAAATTTTAAACCTTTGGTATATATCAAGAAGATTTAAATCCAGCTTAATAAAATAAATTAGTATGAGTCAATTCTTGTAGAGATGGGTCTTAAATGTAATCCTAAACTCAAGGAGTCCCAGGATCGTGGGGCAGGTCACATCTAGGTCTGGAGCAGGCATAATTTCTTCTTCAAGAATTTTTTGGCAGCTATGAAATAAGTCTGCATGTTGTCTTTAATTGTCTTGCTAGTAGAGAAAGAAGCACTTAAGAGAAATGGCTTTAACATGTGTTTGCTGTGAAAAATGTTTATTTGCTCTAACTCTGACTCCAAAAAAGTGTTTTATCACATACAGTTTAATGTTTATTTACATTCACGTAAAGACCCCTTAGTTCACAAATGGGCTTCTTGGTTTTGTTTTAGAGACAATGGATTTTCTCTTCTCCGCTGCATTTCTGGACTGACAATCCTCTCTTTTTATAGCACAGGTAGAGCACAAACACGATCAGTGTAAACTTCCTCATGCTTCCTTGTCCACGCATTTTGGCCTTGGCCTGAAAGGTCACTTCTGCAAGCATGAGTGGAGCATAGCCTCACCTAGCCACGCTCCTGAGGTTGTCAATGACAGAGGCACATTAATTCATTAAGGAAGAGCTCTGGGTTTTTGTGTTTATTCTCTTCACTGACAGACAGGCTTTAGCATTTTCAATGGCAAATGAAGTGCTGTTCTTAGCATTCTTTGGCTTTTCTTCACTTCCTAATCAAGTTCCTTTTTTTCTTCATTAACAGGACTGATATAGATATTTTATTTCATATTCCCTAGTGCTGGGCAGTCAGCCAAATGATGGGTTCCCTCTCTATCAGGCACACACACACCATCCCCATCGTGTGGTTTTTGTGGCGGTTGCTCTTTTTTACGCTGCTTTTTCCGTGCCACGGCGGTATGCAAGGCCTGAAGAATCAAATCTTTATTGTTCTGGACGTTGTAGTAACTTAAGTTCACCAGTTTGTCAAAATTTTCCTCCGAATAACTCAGATTGTTTATGTAATATGGCCCACAGGTATTGGCAACATCAACATCACCCTCTGCCATCTCTGAGGGACTACGTCTCACACCTAAGGGACAAACAATGACTCGGTTAATTAGCAAAAAGCAGTTAGGGTCTGGGTGTTTCTCAGGCACACACACATAGTGGATCACAACCCCAAATTTTCCCTCCACAGGCATTTTATTGCTGGGATATTTGGTTGGCAGCAGTAGGTGGAGAAGCTGCTGGTGGTGAGGTGAGTAGGGGGTTGTCCTGGTTACTCTTGGAAATGCCAAAACAAGTAGAGTAGCTCCTCTTTTGAGCACAGGAGGGTGAGACTGCCTGTGTCCTCCTCTAGCTCTGGAGTCATCTGTCAGCATGGTCCCCAAGTCACCTCTCAGCATGGTTTCTTTCCAGGCGATGGGCCTGAAGCCACTGCCACTTTCTGTGCCTTCCAGCTTTGACTCTACATCGTGTTATTTCCCTCACTACTATCCTTTCATGCCTCCAGAAATAGGCTGCTGAAAATCCATGTATTTATTTCAGTGATTCAAGCTTTCCAAAAGCACAGTGACCTGCAGATATTCTTTCCCCCAGCACAACCTAGTGCTTGGCTCTAGCACAATCTGCCACATCCAGTCTTGGTTCCTACTGGGAAGAATGACCAAAAAAATACAGAAAAAAGACCAAAACAACTAGATTCTATTATATAAACTGAGAGACTTCACAGAGTCACTATCTGGACATATCTCAGAAGCAGATGGGACAAATATTTACAGTAATTTCCTTGAGCTACCTACTACTGTAAAAAACTACGGGCTTTATGTAACCTCAACAGCGAGAGTGAGCCTGATATTCCCTGAATCACTAAGATTTCTCAGGGACACTGAAAGCACTTTTCATGGCCATTTCATCATCCCAGGATAATCAACACATATAACAGAGATCCAGACAAAATAATTAGGCAGGTTGTCCTACAAGTGTCATCATTGGAAATATTGAAGGACACCACAGTCTGAAGGACAGCTGAGGACCCCACCCCTGGGCCAGAGACCTGAAGATGTGGAGATCTACTGCTGCGTGCTAGCCTGTACATCTAACATGAGGTAAAGAGAGCAGTAACAACCCAGAAGTGGTAGATAATACTGCCGGGGTAGATAACACAGGTTAGCCCAGGCAGGAAATGTAATGGTTGATCCCTCCTCATCGCAGATCAGAGAGCATCAGAGACAAGAGAATTTTTCTATCATCCTCTAGTGAGACCATCACATCGGCAAGAGAGTGTTACCATAGTGAACAATCACCTCTCACAGGCATTGAGAAAAGTCAGCACCTCTCTCACTGACAGGACCACATGCATTTGGGGAATCTTTTCTAACAACATTGATCTAACAACATTGATCAAAAGGTTCTGATTTTCCTGGAAGAGTCTCTCCAAGTCTGATAGATGTACTCCTCCCAGCTTTGCAGAGAGAGTTACAAAGAACTAGTACCACTCCAGTGAAGCAGTCTAAGCCTCACACAGAGAATCCTCTTTCTACTTGATCGTGGAATAGTCTAACCAGTACAGAAGTAACCAAATTTGAATATGTCAGTTTTACTTGTGTACTCGTGTTTCACACTTAAACTATTGTCCCAATTGTATTAATTCTTTAATTCTTTTCTTTTTTTTTTTTTTTTTTCAGCAAGTCATAAAAAATCATACAGTACTTTTGCTTTGCAGATATTCTGGATACAATTCATTGCATATTTGAGGTATGAGACTGGGGTTTTGAATAGGATTCAGATAGTCTAAGGGCATTTACACAGGTACACGCAATTCTACTCCAGCTCTTAACACAGATCAGATGATAACTGAAAGGTTGGTTTCTGCAGTTGCCCTTTGTAGAAAGAATTAGAGAAAGGAGAAAAGGATAAAGAACTAGAACAGGAACTGAGAATTAGCTTCTGTACTGCTCTGTGAGGGAGCTGGCCTCCCCTCTCCCCCCTCAATAATTTCCAGAACCCAGGGATGTTGTCCCTAACTCAGCTATCTAATACTAGGTGTACATCAGATGATGTGCAGATGCTACGTGTCAACTTAAATTATCAGGGAATCTAAAAAGGGCTTTTACTATGTATGTAGATGATATACACGAAGATCTGCATGATTGATAGCTGCATTTTACATTCACTTGAGGCAAGCCTGTGCTGCCCAGCCAGTTCAGCTGGTAGCTGCAAGCTGAGACTAAACAGAAAGAGAGAGAAGGGGTCCGTGTCAGGCCCCCTCAGGTGAAGCCTCAGCTGAGCTGACATGGGAGGGCTCGGCCCACACAATTATTTGGGAGGGCTGCCACCTCGCAGCTGAGACCTGACCTCTGTAGCAGCAGGATGGACGCTCCAGAAAGTCCTGGGAGGCTGGGAATGGACGTCTGCCTTTTGTTAGTGACAGGCAGAGATCAGGTTAATTTGAGTGCTTCAGAACCATCTCCTAGCCTGAATCTAGATTGTACAGCACGTGAAGTATTAGTTCAATCCCATGAACGGGCAGTTTTTCCATAGCCAGCTCATCCATTAGTTTGTTCAGCAAAGGGAATTTACAGCCAAGGATTAATACAATTGGGAGAATAGTTCCTGCATTTGTTTTGTTATTAATTTAATGTACCATATACCAGCCTAAAACTTTTGGTTTTCAGTATTCTGTGGGGCTTTGAAGTGATTGAAAAATAAGCGTTTTCACAGCACGGGTTAGGAAATTTATTGTCTGGAGAAGGAATAATTGAGACTTTTGACACCAACAGAGGTAGGGTGGCCTTGTGGAATATGGTAGCAAGACATAGAATTCATGTCTTCTGAAGTGACTGGCAAGGTTAATATTGAAACTCATTTTAAATTTCCAAGTAGGACTCACTGAAGTGAAGAGAAACTGTCAGCATGGCTCGGTGTTACATTTTCATCACTTTGCTAGTTCACACTTTTGTTTTCAAGGTTATCTGCCTAACTGTAAGCCTGGAAATTATTTTAAACAACGAAATCCTTAGATTCCCCAGAGCAATCTCTAGCAGGAAGGGCTGACAAGTATGAGAGGAAGTAACCTTGCTAATTTCTGCCACTTGCAGATAAACAGAATATACTTTTCATCAGTAAACTCTACAACCTACCTATGAAAAGCAAAACCAAAAAATCTTAAGAGGGGCATATGTGCCAAAGGCTGATCCCAGCTGCTGCTCTGCTGTCCAGGAAAAATTACCTATTTTAAGCTTCTTGATACGGTTCAGATCTCAGTAAAGACAGAGTCTGACTCTGTGTTTACATCATGACCTGAAAACAGATGTTGCACAGCAAAAAAAGAGAAAGAAGGTGGCTGCTGCCTTTGTTAATGTGATGCGTAACTGTAAACTTACCAGGTGCTTTGTAGTCCCTGAAGGTGTCATTTACTAGAGGGAAAAATATCACAATAGGAGTGTCTGGGCTCTCCTTGTCACCAAGAATGTAGCATTCCTTCAGCTGTGGGGTTTCCTGATCATCTGGCACCTTTGTAGGGATGTTTTGCAAAGTATTTAGAGGCTTCTTTCAGGGGCTGGTTGCCACAATAGAAAAACAAAACAAAAGAAAACATCAGCAAATATGGAAAGCAATTTGAATTTGACCAAAACCCAATTTAATTGGGAATGTTTGTGGGGTAAGGGCCAAGTTCTGACAGATTATGGCACGTACCCAACTTAGATGTAGACTGTATATGGAGCCAAGACCTGGAAGGCCAGAGTTAAATGGGATGGATCTGGGTCCACATGCCTGTCTTTGAAAATCTACATCCCACATTTGGATATTAACAAATGATGCCTTTAGACAACTTTTTATTCCTAAGGATTTTAAAGTTTCTAAATACAAACTGTTCTTGCTTTTATTTGCATATCTGGTCTCCTGCATCAAACCCTTCTATTGTTACAGTTGTATCGTCCTGAATGTACGTTTCCCGTGCATAAGAACATGTCTGATTGCATTGAGAAGTCTTAGACAATTTTTAAATGCATTTAGCTTCATTCATTCTACATCTAACTGCCTTCAAATCTGCTAAAACACATTTACACATAAAAATGGGCAGATTCAGTTTACTAAATGCTTACTTCCTGATAACACTTGTACTGTTCAATAAAGGTATGTGACCCTGATAAAATGTTAGCTTATTTACACTTCCCAGATACTGGGGGAAAAAAGTTTCTGTGAGTAGAGGATCAGCTATTCTGGGAAGTCAGTGATGAAACAGAGAAATTGGTAAAGAAGAATGTACGAGGCTCACCCCTGTCTGGGAACCTGAACTGTAGTTGAAATGCAAAATGACATCCACTTTCCTTTCTGGTCTCATAAGGGGTGGGTAACTGGTAGCAAAGGCAAATGCAGTATCAATCAGGATGAGGTAGTCTGTTGCTGCTGTCAGGTGGTTGGGCTGAGAGTCAAGCTCACAGTCTAGAAAAGAAGCATTTTTTTTTTCAGAGGAGATGCTCAGTGCAAGGGATGTCCTGAGGAAAGCCAGTTATTAACAAAAAGAGAATTCGGATTTCTTGGGTCTTAAACCTACCTATATAGCTGATAGCTGCAGTTCAGTAATTTCTCAGTTCCTCATTGGCTTCCTCTTTTCACTATTTACTCTGCAATTTCTTTGGCTTTCCTCTAATTAAGAGGGATTAACATGGGGCTCAGGGGAACAGAGTTAATCCCATCCTTTGATTTTGTGTGTGACTTTCATCAGGTCATTGGTTTTTGAGAGGTTTTTTGAGGGTTTTTGTTTGGTTGTTTGGTTGGTTTTGTTTAATATGGAACAAATTAAAACAGCACCTCACTGTCTCAACATGCTAAAGACTAAAGATGTTTGGTGCCTTGCACACTACAAGAACAGGCACACAGCTACTAAGGTACAGAAGGATTTGGTACCAGACTGAACACAAATTCCCAAACAGAGTAACAGGGAATACTGTCACAAAGGTCATATCTTTCTTACAATTAAAAAGGTAACATAAAACAGGGCTCCCTCCCACATCCCTTGAGTAGTGGCCGGGCAAGAGACAGCATGTGAGGGCACCAATGCTGTGCCACAAGTGTGCAGGCTGGCTGGCTGTCACATCAGCAGACATACGCTGGTTAACTGATTAGGGTCTTTCTCATCTATCAGTTGCCAGGCTTCATGAACCTTTTAAGAACTTATTTTTGAAGCCTCTCATGCTGGCTAGTTTCGGCTTTTGTCAACAAACAGTTTCAAGTATTATCAGAGGACAGGAACAGAACAAAAAGGCAGTCAGCTTGATAATCTTTTAAGCATCTTTTTGAGCATCTTTTAAGCATCCTTTTTCACAAAAAAATAGTTTAAAATATAACTAAAACCAGTGTGCTATTACCATACCTTTCCATTTGGAAAACTTGCTCTCTAAATAGTTGTTGTTCATCTGGAAGCCCTTCAGGAAGTTATGGATTTCTGAAGCTGCTGGACGTAACATGGCAACATCTCGGAAAATGTCTGAAAAGCTGTCAGTGGGACACACCACTCGAGTATCCAGCTCATTTGGTCTTGCAGGGAATGGGGTTTCATCATCTGCAGAAGAAAGAATAACAGTTCTTCTGTGTGGTCTCATTGTTGAGGTTAGTCTGTGCAATCATAGTTTGTTTTAATGTGTTCAGCAAAACTTGGACTTCTTTCTCGTTTTATTTCCAAGATCTCCACAAATCTCACAGTTTTTCAGCTAAGCTTTGAAAAAATCCATTTCTTCTCAGTCCACAGTGGTAAAGGCCTTGTTTGCAAATTAATCCATCTCATCTACTATAACTTCCTTTGCTTTTCTATGATTTTATCCACTACAACATCCTGCACTTCTCCTGTCTTCCTTTGCTACTCCATGTTACAGTTTATCTCTCAGCCACACACATAAAAAATCCACACAATCACATGGCCACACAAACATAATTAGTGCTCCTTACTAGCAAATGCAGGCTCCTTGTTTTAACGATCAGAAACTATGCCCTACAAGTCCAGGAAAATAAAATACATCACCTTTTTTGCTACTTTTCTCTTCCTTCTCTTTTTTTTTTTTTTTTCTTCTGCAGTACATCTGTCTTTTGTGTTTCTCCTTGAAATCCCACCCTGCAAATGTTTCTTAATTTGGTAGTGTGTTTTGCAATTCTCATCCTTAGGACTAGTTTGGAATGACTTGCAATAGTACTGAAGTTTATATCTGTTATTTGTAGCCTCCAGAGAGGCAGGGATCGTGATTGCTCTTGTTTCTGTGAAGCCTCATGCCATAATCCAACTTCCAAGAGAGGAACTGGAAGACTGTGGATCACTCGGGGAGATCTCCAGCCTCTCCTAGTCTACAGGGACAATTTTCTCCAGTTTTACTCTTTTCCTCTGAACATGGCTCATATCAGGGCCATTCTCTCCTCCCCGTGACAGATCCCGTGGATTCTTTTCTCCCACAATTGAAATGATTCCCATAGTGCAATGCATGGCACGAATTTCCTCCTAGTTTCTGTGTGGATTACAGGAAGCCCTTAAGAGGGAATTCCAAAATGGCTTTGAAAAGTTCAGTGAGAGAATAGCAGCACAGAGGGTAAAAGAAAGAAAAAGGAAGAAAGGAAGAAAGGAAGAAAGGAAGAAAGGAAGAAAGGAAGAAAGGAAGAAAGGAAGAAAGGAAGAAAGGAAGAAAGGAAGAAAGGAAGAAAGGAAGAAAGGAAGAAAGGAAGAAAGGAAGAAAGGAAGAAAGGAAGAAAGGAAGAAAGGAAGAAAGGAAGAAAGGAAGAAAGGAAGAAAGGAAGAAAGGAAGAAAGGAAGAAAGGAAGAAAGGAAGAAAGGAAGAAAGGAAGAAAGGAAGAAAGGAAGAGAAAGAAAGGAAGAGAAAGAAAGGAAGAGAAAGAAAGAAAGAAAGAAAGAAAGAAAGAAAGAAAAGAGACATAAATAAAATAATATATAATGGCATATAATAATAACATAATGGCATAAGAATAACCCACCTATGTCAGTAATTTTGTCTCGGGTCCATTTGTGCCAGAAGTCTTCTGAATTAACAGATATGTACCAAGCATCCATAAGATTCAAGGAGAATACACTGCTCCAGATCCCTGTGGCATAGGATATATTTGACAGAAAGTAAACTGATAGAGAGCTGAAGCATTTTCATTCGCAATCACCTTCAGTACTTTCTACATTCTCCAGCAAACTTTATTCATTACATTATCTTAGTGCACAAATAAAAGGGAATGTCTTTATGAGTTGTTCTATGAATCCATAATGTATATAAAGAATTTAATTTATTGGGATTGGGAAGCATTTTCAGCATAGCTGCTAACACATTCATTTTTGTTGCATGTCAAATAATGTTTTGTCAAGTACATCTTGATATTTTCCACCTGTCCTCAACATTTCTTATTCCCCAAGTTCTTAGCATTTGCAATTCTAAATATTTTATTTATTTCTAACATAATCCTGTTACAGGTATACAGTTATTATCATGCAGAACTGTCAACTACAAAACATTGAAGATTCATACACTGATATTCCTTATCCAGGAAGCTGACTTAAAAGTTTTGAAAATAGAAAGTGGAAATGTATGAATCTTCTGATTTGTCATCTGATTTTTGAGGGTTTAAGGCATATCTGGGTTACATTTTCAAGTTCCTCTAGTAACAGGTTTTGCAAACTTGATGGCAGTCCAGACTGCCCCTATGTGCAGTCATCTTTCAGGCTGAGAAAACACCATTACCTGGTACGGTGAGATGTGCCGGGTGTGCAACGGTGCCTTCCTGAACCCTCCAAACTGCGGAATTAAACCTGGTGCTCTTGAGAGGGACTGAGTGATGGACAGAAGAAGCAGCACCCGAGCAGCCTGGCGATCGCCCGACCCAGCAATGCCAGCCTGCAGTCAGAGGGGTGGGCTCGGCCATGCAGGAAGGAGCTGCAGCACCTAAATAGTCAGTCCCTGCTCTTTTTGGGGTCTGGAGTGCAAAGGAATTTGCTGAAAACCTTTCGAATAAGTGCGTCACTGAAGTAACGCTGTCTGAATGAGGGCACTCTGGGTCATTTGCAGGGAACAGACATGTCCCAGCATTGCTCTAGAGAAGTGCCCAGGTGGGAGGTGTAGGAAAGGGACGGGTGACCTGCTGGCATTTCTGGCCACAGAAAGAGAGACCTGGGAACCTTGCTTGACATGGCACCCAGGGACGGAGAGATTCCTCCTCCACCTCACCACTAGCTGTAGTGAAATCTCCACATAAGCAAAAAGTCTTAACTTCTCAAAAACCCCCTGAAACTTCCTTTATGCAATTGGTGGAAGTAGGAAGAACAATGAGGCAAGAGATTGTTTTTGCAAGGGGAAAAAAGATTTCCTTACTGCTTTTACTATTCTTATGCAAGAGGGAAAAAAGGTAAATATTATGAGCTATTTGTACTCTGAAATGGAAACACTGTCCTGGAGGATTAATCCAGGTTAGCTGCCACAGGAACATTGTAGATAAAAAGCTGTATTTTAGAGACTTGGGTTGCAGAAGAGACTGATGATTTAACTTAGTGGCCATGTTACACAACTTGTGTCGCTGACAAAGACATATAACTATGGCAAAGGCCTCATGTCAGTAAGCACAACCACATATGAAAATCTGTTCAGCTGAATAAAATTGGAGAGAACATAAAAAATCCTGCAGATAGAGACCTATTATCAATTCTAATATTTTATCATATACTGCTCCTGGCAGATAAAAAATATAGTAACTGCTTCATTTCAGAAGAGGGATTTGCGCTTGAGCAGGTTATATTATATTACATAACATTTTGAGCAACAAATCACCTTCCAAAAAGCAGATCCTGGATTCTGGGATTTTCTTCATCAGGCGACCCATGAAGAACTCACTACCAAAATCTTCTGCACGAATGAAGGCGCCATACTTCGGGAATCCTACCTCGTAAGGGGTGAATTCCACCCATTCTGAAAGAAAAAGCAAAAGACAGACGGATTACAGCAGCAGAGGCAAAAATTAGTTGAATAAAACCTATGACACTGGCCAGGTTAAGACAGACTCATTTCTAACACACTTTGCAAACAGACATTTATTCACTGTACATTTCATTGTGTGGAACATGAAGAGTGAATTATCCTCTTACATCTAAATTTCTCTAGAAACTGTAGATTTCTGAGGTAATGTATCAGGTAATTTTGTGATAATGTCCTCCATTATCCTGCTTTTGATCTTGAATACAGCTGAATATACAAAGACATTAAAAAAATTAACTATTAAAATTCTATTCTTAGGTGGCTTGGCCCTTTAAAGGATTTGCGCATTGAACTGATTTCTTTACCTAGTCCTAAATCGAACCCTATTGGAATTAAGTGTTAAATGCAATTCTGAAGTGTTATTACCTCTAAAATCCTGGTCGCTGATTTTATCCTTCACATTGAGAGAGAGGTAGATGGGCAGGGGGTTCTGACCCTGATTTAGTGCCTGCTGCTGATCTGTGAGCTTATGGGAGTCCTCCTGTTTTGAAGAAGGACAGTAGCTGAGGACAGTTAGATGACACAAAGAGCCTCCCACTTTGAGCCTGGGCTCTGACAACGCAGTGCACATCGGACTCCAACTAGGATGCTCCCCACCGGGTAAGTTCAAAGAGATGCTGTCATCCCTATCTCTGACCCTCCCCTGCCCCAACTCTTCAGCACACAAATAGCCCGAAGTTAAGTTCATATGCTGAAAAAAATCTGAGCTTTCAATTGTAGGAAGAAAATGTTGTTATTCACATCATTTATTTCAGAAAAATGTCTGGAAATATTTGAAAAGCACTCCTGGCATGAAATATTTCATTCAGAAAGAGTAGTCCCTGCCCTGACTGCCCAGAAAATGATCTTTTCCTCAGACCTGTGACAGAGCCAAGCCTCAGACGGAGTTAATATTCGGTGAGCCTTGACCCTTACTGCTTCTGCTGCAGAGCATCTCGTGTGGTCAGGCAGGGTGGAAAGGGCTGTGCCGAGCCTTGAGAGGGTGCAGAGTCCAGATCCTCCTTGAAGGAGAGCTGCGGGTGCTCCCCTTTGCTGGAGCAGCCCTCGGAGGGACAGCTGTGCCAAGTGGGCTTCCCTCGGGTGGTGCCGGTCCGGGGGACAGGGCTGTGGCACCCCAGGGATGCTGGCAGCTCCCTGCTGAGCCACCCCCAGGGGCTCTCAACGCGGATGTGTGTGGAGTTGTTTGTACTGTAGGGGGGAATGTTTTCTCTTTCTTAGGTACAAATGGCCCGTTAGGAAGGAAATATTCACGAATACTAAAACAGAGCCTGAACATTGCCTTTTGGTGGAAATGTTTACAGTGTGACATAACCCCATTAACAACTCAGAGATAATGTCTTTGGGTTTGTGTTTGTGATTTTTCTTTGCCATGTTACACTGTGCAGCTCTTTTAAAAGAACAGTGGGATTTTCATTTAAATATTTATATGTGATTTCATTTTAAAGTTGTTCATACAGTAAATTTCCCATTATTTCTCTTTATTCCCACCTTTTCTGTACCAGGAGTGATGTTAAGATCTGCATAATACAGCCAACAACCACAAAGAATGATACCACCAAGGCACATGCTTCAGGCATCTATCTGAAAAGCAAACAAACTAACAAGCAAAAACCCCCTTTTCTGTAGGGGCTGTCAGACACTTGTGTATGTTGCCCTGAGAAGATGTGGAGTCTTCACCTGTGGAGATATTCAAAAGCCCATGGTTCAGGGCAGCTGGCTCTAGCTGACCTTGCTTGAACAGGGCTGTTGGACAGCACAACCTCCAGACATCCCTTCCAATCTCAACCATTTTTTGATTTACTGTCTGCCCTCACCTCTATATTCACTAAATATGCAAATCTGAAGAAGAAAGGTACCTTTTCATGTAACATGTTTTCAATGATGAGTCCCCATAGATCCGTGAAACATATCTGATGTCCTTCATGTTGCCTCTGGCACAACTCTTTCAAATAGTATTTCAGCCGATCAGGGGCAAAACAAGTAAAGAACTTATTTTTGAGCACGTGCTTTCGGGCATCCTTGAGTGTTTCCTTAAGATCCTTTTGGGACCAGTCAGGATCTTCATACAAGTTTGACATGGTCCTAAAAAAAAACCAACAAAAAAACCCCACAAGTTAAAATGTGAATTCTGAAGCAGAGCTTTGGGAAAGTTATCATGCCTTGATTTACATGAAAAGCACACATGTATGGTACCATGCACATGTTTAATCAGGACTGAATTAATTCCAAATGCTGGCAAATACCCACTGAAGGAAACAAGAAAAAGCCACAGCAGCAGAAGAAAGTACTTTCTTGATAGTAAAGATGATGCAACTCTTCAGATCAGTACTTGACATCATATATAGAACATTCCTATGAAGACTTTGCTTATCTTGGTCTTACCATGTTGTGCCGGATAAACCAGTGATGTATGAGACACAGTCCAAGACATTCAGCTCCTGCACACTGAGAAGGTGAGCGTACATGGCCGTCAGAGCTCTGGTTCCACCACCTGTTGTCATGATTGCCACCACAGGTACCTGTTCAATTCCAAAACACATGCATTTAGTGACATGGTCTGAGAAGGGAGAGACACACCACTGATTAGAAAAGAGAAAGTTACAGCACTGATAAAATAGTAAAGAAGCTGCATGCCACCAGTTTGCAAGGAGAAGAAAAACCTAAAATAATAATGGGGCATAGAAGGAGTAAGAAATGCTTCATGTTTCCTCTGCCAAGCAGCTGTGCATTACGACATGAAATCCATCATCTCAAACATCACATTTTCAGTGCTCTATTGCAAAAACAATAACACAGATCAGCAAAAAACTAGAGGGAATGGTACCTCCTGCCATCTGGACCAGATTTTTATCAGATGCAATAGACCGGAAAACATAGGTGCTGTCTCACAGTTTCCATGTGAGTAGTAATAATCTCTCTGTTATTGAAGTTTGCTAAAGCTGATTTCAACTATTGCATCGTTATTTCACAGACCATACTAGATGTATCATGACTGATGGGCTTAAGAGCACAGACCAGTTCAGATTCCCAGCTGCTGAAGGGAAAGA